CTTCTCAAACTGAGACTATTGATATCCCTGATGACCCATCCGAATCTAAGAAAACCAAAAAGGGTAAAAAGAAATTATCTTCAAATGCTCATAAGAAACGGGTTCGAAAGGGTCAGGCAAAACAGAGTCATAAATTAGTGGATAAAATTAACAAGAAATTGGGGAAAAGGAAGAGACAGGTGTCTTCTGATTCTGAATGGGAAAATTAGTCTGGGAATGAGGGGGTCCAAACAAACATGGGGGAGGGTGAGGTATCTGAAAACATTGATGATAATCTTGACAGTCGTACAAAGAGAATTCTAAATTTCGTAAGAAGATATCTGGTAAAGGGCAGGGTGATTACTGGGTTTGGAGGTGCTAAAATGGGGGAATTACTGAGTATCTTACACGCTCAAGGGTGGAATGACTTGTTCCTTCAGGGTAACATAAGAAGGAAGATGGGTAAAGATGAAACTAGACAATTCTATATTAATGCCACTGGGTCGCCCTCGTCAATTTCCAGTGTAGTTAGGGGGAAGAACATAAATCTTACTCCTGATATTATTACTCATATTTTGGGGGTTTCTAATACAAACGAAGCTAGCCCCTTTAGATGGTCTACCTAGTGCTCTTGATATTGTTTGCAAGTTTGTGAATGATCCCTCCATGGAAGAATATTCTAGAGTTGACAAAGGGGCAATGCTTCCTTTACATAGGCTGCTATTTGATGTGGTGCATAACATCATTCTACGTAGGAAACAAAAACGTACTGAGGCTAACTACTTATATCTCACTTTGATGAAACTCTTGCTTTCAAGGCATCCCATTAACCTGTCGTAGTTGATGTTATTTCACATACACTTTATTGGTGTTGAGGACAAAAAGTTGCACGCATTAGGATATGGATTTTGGTTAGGCGAGATCTTTGAGTATCTTAAAATCCCTGTTAAGGTGTGGGAGGTGCAAACAACAAAGGATGTTATTGGTACTATGAATCACGTTGTTGTACCTGCTCCTCGGAGGGTGCAGATGCTCCTATGCAGAGGTTACGAGCTAAGCTAACACTGAAAGATGAGGAAATTTCTGCACTCAGAGTATCTCATACTACTGCTATGGATCAGTTGCATGTCTCCTATGGACTCGAGCATGCCAGGTTGGTGGAAGAAAATGCAAAGTTGAAAGAAGATTTGGTGAAGTCCGAAGTTGCCCTTGAAGCTGAGAAATACACAAACTCTGCAAATCTAAAAGGCCTTTATGATCTATTCAAGTCTACTTCTCCGTGTGCCTCTCCATTAGCTACTTTTTCCCAGATTCCTTTACTAATCAACTTCCTCTAGTCGTGTGTGGTTTTTGCTTTTAAGTTTTTGATGTGGTTTTAGCATGGTTTATACATTTCTGACTTTATCTCCATGATGTGGGATGGCTTGTTTTTTCTGTAGAATTGCCTAATTTCTGAATAGTTCTATTTCCTTTTATAGCTAACTGTGTTTTGGTGCTTTTATGGTTGGTTATCACTTGGATACTATAGTAGGTTCTATGCAGGTTTGATTGATGCCAAAAACGGAAGGTACTTTAACATTTGTTGTATTCGTAATGTATGATATGTCATCTTCAAAAGGGGGGAATTTGTTAGTTTAATAAGGATTTTAAAGACTGACAAAGTAATTGAGCAAGGAACAACTTGTACAGAATCAGTCAAAGTGTAAACATAATTATGAGTCCTAAGAGAAGTAGGAAGCATAAGCAAAGAAGGAAGTAGAACGGCGTGAATAAGGATTCAAGACGGAAATAAATCAAAGCCAAGTCAAGTAAGGAAACTACACAAAAGAGGCGTGAAGTAGAGTGTGAGTTGGACAAGGCTTTGCGGATGCGGTAAAGTCAAGTTCGAGTTGAACAAGGCTTTGAGGATGCGATAAAGTCTAGTTCGAGTTGAACACGACTTTGAGACGTTTTGATCTTTAAATAGGGCAATATTGTCGTCAGAAAAGATTGCGCACTTACATAGAGAGAGAAAAAAACACGGTCAAGCTTTTGAGAGAGTTTTGTAAGTTACTTGGGGAGTGGTGCGAGTTTGTGAGAAATTATTGTAAGATTGTAGTTAATAGTTATTGACTGCAATTAAGTATTGAGCGTAGGATAAGTCTAACAAGTTTGTGAAACTTGAAAGACTTTAGAAGACTTAAACTTTGGATTTTTTGTCTTGGGTTGTTAGGAATTAGAGTTTATAATTCCTTAGATTACATAGATGTGTAATCATTGTATTGTTTGAAGTTGAGATAAATAATACAAAATTGTGAACTACTTGTTATTTTACGGAATTATTTACTACAACTCTCAAACAGTAAAGAACAAATAGTAAGTACGTGTTCCTTTACAAAATTAAGGAGGTCATAATTCTAACACTATATACTCTTGTAATTAATTAAGGGAGATCCTCCCAAATATTCGATCTTATCAAGAATATGATTGTGTTTGTTGATTTTTGATCATTAGAAGATGAAATATTACTAAAATTCAAATCAAATCAACATCTTTAAATTTAATTTTTTATTTGATGAAAGTCAATAATACTGGTTCCACTTGCAAGAAAATTCTGACCACTTGATTAAAAGGTTTAAAGGAGAATATCAATTCAAAAACTATTATTTTATTTATTTCATTTTATAAGGAACGAAATTTTTTTATTTTATGAGTTTTGAAGTTAGAATGTTAAACATTTTATGACTTTAGTACTTTATGAGAACTTTAATATTTATATTTACGGGAGATATTTTTAAAATGGATTTAATTACAAACAGTGTACAACTTACAGAATTATTTAAGAGTAGATTTAATTTTAATTTATATATATTTTTAATAAGAAGATAGATGGTGGAATTCAAGTTGGCATTGTCATCAACTTGGACTTTTGTTACCAATTAATGGTGAATTTTTTTATCAAACTAAGTCATTATTTAAATCAATTCTCCAAAATAATATGTTTTTAATTTTTTTTATAAAACTAGAATAAACGTATTTCTGAGTAACGTTTTAGGGTATTTTTATTTTAAAAATTTAACGGACAAAAATTGACGGAGCTGACGACATTAAATGAATAAAAGTACACCTGAGTAACGTTTTACACCTAAAACGTTACTCACGAGTACGTTTATTGAGAATCCAATCACGGGCCACTGAATCCAATCCTGCAAATGCAAATGGAGTGACCAGTTGTGTTCAATCAATCCGGAGCCAAAATGACAGTTTTTTTCCATCGAAAAACGAAAACAGCACATCAAAAGAATTTTTAACCAAAAGGGTAAAATCGCTCCTGACAAAGCGATTTTCTTTTGAAAAATTGACGCCGTTCCGTTGAAATAAATATCGCTGCCTTAGCAGCTCTTTTCTTTAAAATCGTTGCTATAGCAGCGTTTATATAAATGAAAAATAATTTAAAAGTAAAATCGCTGCTATAGCAGCGATTTGTTTTAAGAAATTAAAAAATAAAAAAAATAAATCGCTGCCTTAGCAGCGATTTTATGAGAATTTTTTTTTCTTCAAAAATCGCTATGGCAGCTTTTTGATTAAAAAAAAAAATCCTTTTGAAGTTAAATGCTACTATAGGTCAAATCAATTATTTATTATAATATAATTATGATATAAATGTAGTGTACATATTTATTTTAATTTTGAATTTACAAAATACTAAATTATTTTCTTACTTTTTAAATCACTTGAATGGCAGCAAATCAACTTCAATTTTTTTATTAAAACGATGCTATAACAATTTTTTTTTAAAAATAAAAATTCATAAGATCGCTGCCAGGGCAGCGATTTATGCATTTTTTATTTTATTTTTAATTCCTTAAAAAGAAATCACTGCTATAGGAGCGATTTTACTTCAATTTTTTTTTTAATAAAAACCCTGCTATAGTAGAGAAAAAGAATTTTTATTTTATTTTTGATAGCAGCGATTTTCATTTCTTTTAACGGAAAGACGCCAATTTTTGTCAGAAGAAATTCGCTCCGTCAGGAGCGATTTTACCCTTTTGGTTACATTTCTTTTTGATGTGCCGTTTTTATTTTTTGAAGAAAAAAAGTTGCCCTTTTGGCTCCGGAATGTGTGTTCAATTGCCATCTTACCTCTCTTTATTGTAGAATATTTATCGTAACATGCATGGAGGAGCAGTTGGAGTTGTCGCAGAGAGTTATCATAAATGTAAATGGAGACTTTTGTAAAGCAACAAGTTTTATTACTCATTGGAGAATTCACTGCGATTATTGATTTCATGTAACTATATTTATGATATGAGATGAGTTTTATGTTGAGATTTATGGTATGAGATTTCATGAATGTGTATGAAATGAAATTTCATGATTTGTAGGGATTGCGTTTTCAGAATCAGGAGAAAGGACATCAAGACCAATTGGCCATTTGCATTTGCAGGATTGGATTCAGTGGTCCGTGATTGAATTCTCAATAAACGTACTCGTGAGTAATGTTTTAGGTGTAAAACCTTACTCAAGAGTACGTTTATTTATTTAACGTCGTCAGTTCCATCAGTTTTTGTCCGTTAAATTTTTAAAATAAAAATATCCTAAAACGTTACTCAGAAATACGTTTTTACTAATTTTGTAAAAAAAAAAAAACGTATTATTCTGGTGAATTGATTTAAATAATGGCTTAGTTTGGTCAAAAATTCAATTAATGGTCCTTGTCATGGTACGTCAGGGGTTTCGTCATTGCCTATTCCATTCTAATAATTTCTCAATATAAAATACTCCAATCAAGACAATTGAAAATTTTGACTTCTTGTTTGATTCAACTTGAATATGCGATAAAAAATTTCAAATACGATTCATATATATATATATATATATACTAGATGAGGGAAGCCCGTGCTTAGCACGGACCCAATATAAATTTAAGAAACATCAAAAAGAAATAATGAAAATATTAGTAAGATGCAATATGAGGCTTGTAGGGAAAAATGCGTATTCACTACATAATGAGTTGGCATTATTAAATAATGGCAAAGGAGTAACTTCAATTTTTCCCTTTGAACATATATACAGGAAAAATCTGATCTTCGTTAGAATGCAACAAGAAGTGTAAAGTTGGTATTGATTAGGTTGAGTCGGTCTATGGTTTATGTATTTCTCTCTTTTCTTTTCCTTGAGTCTTCATGATATCTGGTGATTGTATATATCTGCAGAAGATCTGAAACATTATTTTAGTATTAAGATTATTTATATGGAGATTAAACTGCAACCAGGAAGCTGGGAAGATATTCATTTAAGAATTCAAAGTTAAAAGTTTATAAGTTGCAGGAAAAGCACAAAGCTACAAGTTTGTAGAAATTCTGTTGGAAAAGTTAAAGAGTAATTTTGTATAGAACTTTAGGATAACTTAGCACGAAAAAAGTGAGATTTGGCAGATTCATTTGTAGCAACTGCACAAAAGAGAATAATAAACATGTCTAAGTTTTAAAAAAAAAAAAACGCAAAAAGAAAGGATATAGGTGACATTACCAACATAATTTAGCTATAATTATATAAATAAAAGTAGTGAGTACTCATCAACTCCAGGGTAACTCACCATGGAAAAAGTCAGACTTGTCAAATTCATTTGTAGCAACTGCGTAGAAGAAAATTGTAAACATCTCTAGACAATTAACTTTCGAATTGAAATCTTCAGTGGCAACTTGTTCTCGGTAACTTTTACATCCTTCAATGATGACTTACTATAGAAGAAATGTCCTAATACAACGAAACTCATTCATTAGATTGCCCATGCTTTGATGTGATAACCTTTCTCCATAAAGCAGTGTCCTCAACATTGAATCTCAATAGCCATTTTACTGAGAGGCTCGTTTATCATGATCATCCCGCCTTACAACCCAACCTAAACTATTAGTTCCATAACTTGATGTTTGTGTCATGCCTCTAAAACTTTGCAAATAAATTGAGTGTTAACATACTAAATGTATATTATGAATCACGTAAATTAACAACAATGGGCACTGAACACAAAAAGTCACTGACGCACACTCTAGTACGTACATCCAATTGTAATCAAGTGTAAAAACAGGAAAATGAATTTGAGCACATCATGGAACGGAAAACGTGAGCTTTGGATGTCATAACTAAGTATATAGAACAAGAAGAGTGAAGAAGTAACCTTCCTTGTTTGTTAAGTAGAACAAATTTGAGACTGTATTGTGTGTTTCCATGTTTACAGCAGTAAAATAAATCGAATTTTCGAAGGCCAACAACATATCATAGTAATAGAATGTATAGGCATCTAATTAAGAAGTGGACATCTAAGTTGCGTGGACTCTTCACTTTCGATGTCGCACCCGTGTCGGTTTCTCCAAAAATACACTATTTTTGACAAATTCGACACACCCCTTGACATTTTTGAATAGTATATGCGAATAGTTGAAGAGTACACTACCATGAGAAGACTACATGTACATTACCGAACAATGAAATTCTGTTATAGGTAGTATAAATAACATGTGAATCACAGATATTAACTGTTACAAAAGATCCTTTCTTATAATCTTATTAGAGGAAAGTGTATATGTGCATATAAGAGCACATCTATTTCAGTATGAAATATTTATGTTAACTATTTGTTAATTATTCAATATGATGCCACCTGATTGTTATATACCAATTTCAATTCCAGCAACACCTAACCATTTAGCACATTATCAGTTGCCATTATTCATGGTTCATTTTCATTCATTAGTTCTCAGCTACAATGGGTATGTTAATTAAGAAGAAGAATTCTGGTGGCCTGGGAAGTTGAAGGCGGAAGAGGAACGCAACAAAGTCACAGCGAGCAGAATAGTTTAGCTAAACCATCAAGGGTCCAACTGTGTGAATGAGATTCTTTCGCTATTAATTAAAAGTTAGTAAATTTTTCTAATTAGCTTTACACACTTGTTTTCTTTGTCGATACATAAATAGATTAGCACTAAGAGTTATGAACAACAAGCTGCAGGACTTCTTGGTTTTGCTCTTCCAAGGAACCAATATTGGAGTTTAGTTTATTACAAATTCTCGGCTGACTAATCATAGTTTCTGGCCGTTGAGAAACTCTCTGTTGCGGGAAAATGTGGTTATGATATTCAACAAACGGTAAAATCAGCAGGTGTACTTTATAAAAAAAATTTCCTAAGCTATACAAAATTTCATATAAGGTTCAATGAGGAATTTTGATGAACATTTAGCGGCTAAAGCTAATTATTAACAGGGCAAGAAAAAACATAAAATGCATACAAGCAAGACAGTAAACAACAAACCACGAAGAGGAAACATAGAACTCACAGTTACATAGGCAGAGAGAAGCAAAGCGCTTTGCACAAGCCGAACTATCAAGAGGTGCGAAGAAGGTAAACAATTTCAACAGAGATGATGAATGCGGCAGTTGACAAGAGGAAGAGGAAGCAGCGAGGTAATAGCTGTAAAAGATTTGGGCTACGCGTGGCAGGCAAAGTTGTGTAATTGGAAAGATTGTAATACCCTTTTCGATGACACAGACATGTTGAGGAGCTGTGTGCTTACTGGCATTTATCATATAGTAGAATATATATAAAGGTCAAGTGATCTCAGTTCGGGATGGGATTGCACGTGTTTATGGATTGAACGAGATTTAAGCTGGGGAAATGGTTGAATTTGCCAGTGGTATGAAAAGACTAGCCTTGAATCTTGAGAATGAGAATGTCGGGATTGTTGTCTTTGGTAGTGATACTGCTATTAAAGAAGGAGATCTTGTCAAGAGCACTAGATCTATTGCGGATGTTCCTGCGGAAAAGGCTATGCTAGGTCGTGTGGTCGATGGCTTGGGAGTACCTATTGATGGAAGGGGTCTCTAAGCGATCACGAGCGACGACATGTTGAAGTGAAAGCCCCTGGGATTATTGAACGTAAATCAGTGCACGAGCCTATGCAAACAAGTTTAGAAGCGGTAGATAGTCTGGTTCCTATAGGTCGTGGTCAACGAGAACTTATAACCGGGGACCGACAAACAAACATATATATATATATATATATATTAATTTTTACCCTTACTTTTTTATTTTTATAAAAACTAGTTAAGTGTTTATGACGTTAATTAATAATAAATTTGTATAAAAAGGACAAATTATTATGTGTACGCTATATTGTTATGTACAATTTTTTTTTTAAAATAACATAAATTTTTCAAAGATAAAATATCTTTGTAAACATGATAACTCACTATCATACTAACAATTAAATAGCAAAATTAAATATAGTGAACAAACTTTTATTATTGATAGTAAATGTTAAAATTATGTTCATATCAATAGATGAAAACACACTCTAAATAATAAGGTAAAAGAAAAATGAGCTACAGTATGTACGGACATAATTACATATATCAATGATAGGTAATTAATATATATATATATATATATATATTTGAATTAAACAAAAGGTGTATATGTTCTTGAAAATGATCAAGTTGATCATATTTTTAGATATACAGAGGAATAAATCTTGTCACATAAAATTCCTCACATATATAATGCTAACACCAATAAAATAAAATATAGATAAACAAAACAAATCCAAACAACACAGTTTCTTCCTTCGCATTTCATCATTTACTAGTTTATTAAAATTTTAAATAGACACAATTTTAATTGAATTCAAAATGTACTATAAAGTCTGAAACAACCTATATGGTGTCAAGAGAATCTATACAAATTCATTTTGCCAAAAATTATAATGTATATATAATCATATTTTAATTGTCCCTATACAAATATAACGATAGATTAAATTTTAACCCACTTAGAACCTAAAATTGTCTTTGGTCTAGTGGTAAAAAGGGTTCAATTTTGATTAGAACCACATGTTTAACTAAGTAGAACTTAAAGATTTTCTACGTACAGTAACAAATACATTATTTTCCGCCTTTTCAATATACATAAAATAATTTACTCAAACTTTTACAACATATAAATTAGTGTAATCCATTAAAAGAAAAAAAACTACACTATTTGGTAGAGCTGTCAAAAAAGGCCGACCCAACCCCACCCAGCCCAAGCCTCGCGGGCCAAGGAATTTGAAGGGCTAGGACGGGCTGACCCTTCATTTGGAAGACCCTAAAAATGCTCAACCGAACCCAACCCTAGAAGGGCCGGCGGCTGGGGCGGGCTAGCCCTTTTTTTTTCTTTTTCATTTTTCTTTTCAAACTTATAGTTCTATAATATCAGAAGATTTTCAAATAAAATATGACAAATAATGGTGTTGTTTCAACAACACTAGCAAAAAATCTAGTGTAATTAGCATGTATCTCGCATACTAGATACATGAGCGAGATAAGAAAGTGACAAACAAGATGGGGGGAGGCGAGGGCGCGAGATTTGTCTATGTATCCATGTGAATCTACTTGGATAGAGTGTAGCTAGAACAAATTAACCTAGTTTTGAGTCTATATATTCCAAGATACATGTATCTTGACGTACCAAAATCTTGTAAGATTCATAATATTACAACATAACGTGTATTTATGTAATGAGATTATACTAGTGAGATTATTGTGAGTTACCTTTAAATAAAAAGTTTTGGCCCATGGGCCGACCCAGGCCTAGCCCCGATCAAGTCTCAAGGTCCAAGGGCTTATATGGGCAAGACTTATAAGCCCTAGTTTTAAATGAGCTTGAAAAATCCTATCCCAACCCTACCCCAATAATGGGTTGGGTTGGGCCGGCCCCATGGGCTAAGCCCATTTTGATGGCTCTACTATTTAGTTATTTCTTTGAAACCCCTCATTGCGCTTGAAAAATTTAATTTCAAACTTTCATTACATTCATACACGTCTCCCTTTGTGTGTTGGTAGCCTTGTACTCATTATTTAATAAAATTTAATAATAACTAGATAATAATTATATATTTGTTATAAATATAGTGAATGTCTATCTGTTAGAGAATATTTAGGAACCCTAACTTTGGGACCAAGTCAATTTTCCCCTATAAATAGAGAGGTCCTCTTCATTGTAAAATCATCCCTCAAGAGAAATAATAATTCTTCTCTCTACTTTCTTCTTCTTATTCTATAGCTTCATAACACATTATCAGCACGAGACCCTACCGTCTCAAAGAGTGAACGTTAAGTTTGAAGAATTAATAAGACATGGACAATTCTCAAAGCATGTTATCTAATTATGAAGACATTTTCTTGATTGATTCTGGTACAACACATACGATATTAAAAAATGAGAAATATTTCTCTCATTTAAGTATAGGCAAAATAAATTTTTTATAGTACTAATATGATTGAGGGCATTGGAAGAGCCATTGTAATTTTGCCTAAGGGAACTAAACCCATCATAAATAATGATATATTTTCTCCCAAATTTCGGAGAAACTTGTTGAGTTTTAAAGATAATATCAGTGACAATGATTATCATATCCAATCGATGGATGTAATAAATCTTGAATATCTTGGTATCGCCAAAAACGTCTCTGGGCAAACATGTGTTATAGAAAAGTTCCCTGCTTTATCTTCTGGCTTGTATTGGACAAAAATTAGTTCAATTGAGGCACATTCTATAGTAAATAAGAATTTTACCAATTCCAATACATTTGTACTTTGGCATGATCATCTGGGACATCTTGTTTCTATAATGACAAGACAAATTATAGAAAATTCAAATGGACATCCATTAAAGTACCTAAATGTCACGATCCGAGTCTACACCCTGGACGTGGACGACACTTGAGAACCATTGTTGGTTCCCAAACGAACCCTTATCCTGTCTGACTACAAGCAGAAGACTAACTCAACCGAATTAAATTCAATAAACTCAAATACTCAACTTTAAAATAATCTGAACTATAAATAGATAGACTCAGAGTTTGCAAAAACAACTCAAAGAAGATAAATACTGAAAACTAATCAACTTTATCTATCTATGAAGCCTCTACTATTACAGAAGGATATTGGGACAAGACCCATGACATCGGAAAACTACTAACTGTAAGATAAAGGTGAAGTCATTTGGAATATAAGAAGGCTCACCAAAACTGACTAGAACTGCAAGTGGTATCAACAAAGCTTCTGTTGATGACCCTGAATACCTGTATCGGCATCATAAAAGATGCAGGCCAAATGGCCTCAGTACATGGAATGTATGAGCATGTAAAGAGAGTTCTAAAGCAAAACATAAGCTTGAACTGATGGAAAAGAAACATACTTTCCTCTTCTCAACTCGGAGAAAATAGAGCTCAACTCAATAATAAGATACTCAACTCAGTGAAACATAGTTCAACTCAACTCAGAGAAAATATAGCTCAACTCAATAATAAGATACTCAACTCAATAAAAACCTAATTCAACTAAACTCAGAGAAATAGGGCTCAAATCAATAATAAGATACTCAACTCTGTGAAACATAGTTCAACTCAACTTAGAGAAATACGACTCAACTCAATAATAAGATACTCAACTGTGTGAAACATAGTTCAACTCAACTCAGAGAAATAGGTTCAACTCAATAATAAGATACTCAACTCTTGATACTCAAGGATAAAACAACAATAAAAGATGCAATATATGGAAAAGTGTAAAATAATATATAGCAACTCAATTTTATGTAAAAATACAATAATAACTCATTTGTATGTAAAAATACAATAATAACTCTTATTTGGGTGATTCTCTAGCTGACAACCATCACTATAAGCTATGTGATGCTATAACGTCTCGCCCACGCTGCCAGAATTGTCCTATACCTTGTGGGGTATAGAACTCCTCTACTAAGTGGATCTACTAGTCTATGCTTAAAATCATTAAGGAATCATCTAAAAATTATGACCCTTTCTACCCACGTTGGCTACATGGTTTATGGGGGTTGTGAGTTGTTAGAACTCTCCCCCATATCGGTGCTCAATACTACTCCCAAAATTTAACTTAGCTCATATGTTTTAAAGAAAAAATTTCCTCTTCATAAAAATATTTCTCTAAAAAGAGATAGTACTCAAAATGCTCATGAACTCTTTGAAAATCGGTATTTCCTCTCTTCTTAAATGTAAAAACATTTACTCTTGCGAATACTTAGTTCCCATATATCATTTTAAAGAAAATGGAACTTGACTCTACTCATCCTCATAGTCATTTACTCAAGCCTTTAAACAAATTATGAGTAATTGTAAAGGACTTCTCAAAATAGGGTTCATGCCGAATTATGGATGTGAACGACTCAATTTAAGGTTTTAAATAACCATACATAGAACTCAATACCCAGAACTCAACAACTCCAGAACTCAAGGAGTCAATGATACTACTCATCTCAAGAATGCTCGACTCAGAGGGTTCATGTGAAATTATGGGCATGAAAAACTCAACTCAAGGACCTTCATGGGTAACATGTAGTAGTCCTATGATTAGGAATATAATCTCAAAAGGATTAGGAACTCAATACTCAAGATTTAGAACTTGAAGATACTACTCCTCTCAAATATACTCAAATTATGGAGTTCATGCAGAATGTATGGGCATGAATGACTCGACTCAAGGATCTAAATGATAATGTAGGCTCATGAATACATTCTCCTCATTCTCATACTCACTTACTTGAGTCTTGAAACAAGTTATTAGTAATTGTAGAAGACTCATCAAAGATTCAAAAGGACTTTCTCAGAAGACTCGAAAGAACTCTCAAGACTTGACTTTTAACTCTACCTTGAATTTGAATTATGAATCCAAGGTTATGAATGATTTCTCGATGTTTAGAAGTATTTTAGAGTAGTTAGAATCAAAGGGGAGTAAAGGTACCCTTTGAAGAAACTTAGACGGGCCAAACGACAAAGAAGGGGTGGAGGCAGGCGACCCTGGCTGTCACGACCCGAGAGCACCCCCTAGTCGTAACCAGCGTACTCGACCTCTCGGAGGTCTAATACAAGCCTCTAAGCATTCATTCATCGCATAACACTAAAAACATAATGAATTTAAAACTTTCTTTACCAAGAAAACATTTAATTAAAAAAATAGC